GGGTGTGAACATTTTTTTTTTAACACTGCTGGAAGCTTCAACTGTGATTGTCGAGCAGGATTCAAACTCAAAGCAGATAAAATGGGATGCGAAGGTGAAACTGAAGATGGCCTTAATGTGAAATATTTTTTTTTTACTATATTCCTTGAAAAAGCTGCCAAAAAACCGCAAGCGACTATGTTTATGTTGATATGATTGCGCGAAGAGGTGCGTCGTTTTCTCTTAGTTTGAGTCCAAAATTTCTAAGTAAAGTAGATTTGAGAAATAATATCCCAAAATCTCATTTTGATAAAACAAATGCAGAAGATGGGAGAATTTTAAGAACTAGGAGCACCTTGCTCTATGGGGATCAAGCTATCTACTGCTATTAGATTCCATGGTGGTACTTAAATCCGTAGATGTCGACGAATTTTTTTTTTCAAGCAAGGGTGGATGTGAGGAAATCTGCCACAACTTTGAGGGTGGATTTTTTTTTTCCTGCCCAGTAGGTGAGCGGCTGAGGGATGACGACAAAACGTGTGAAGGTACATTGCATCTTAATTTGCCGCCAAGCAAATATTATTGGTGATATTGTTTTGTTTTTTTTTTTTTTCGCTTGCAGTTCTTTTCTATTTGTTACCAGCTTGAGTTATACATGTTTTTTTTTTTATTTTCAGCTGTCGTGCTTCAAACATTTAATGGCCGTTTGTAACATTTTTTTTTTTGGGAGACTCTCAGTCTCGCTCTAAATGGAGAAAAATTTCTTGTTCATTTTTTTTTTTTATTTCTTTTTCAGAGATTTACTGTCCTGCGTTGGAAGCTCCATTCCTTTTTTTTTTCACCCCGAATCTCTGCACGGATAATCGTGCAAATATCAGGCGTAACACTGTGTGTACATACGGATGTCTTACTGGCCACAACCTCGTAGGTGGAGATCAGTCACTGGTTTGCCAAATGGATGGATTTTGGAAAGGAAGTGTTCCTTATTGCAACCGTAAGGTTTTTTTTTTATTTTAAGGGGCGTTAAATCAAACCCCTTTGTTGAACGCATGTTTCATTTTTTTTTTTCTTCGCCATTTTTTTTTAATATTATTACTCAAGACGAAGATAAAGTTTTTTTTTTTTGATCAACTGTAAGGAAGCTATAAAACGAAGATTGGGACTTAGTTCTTTTTTTTTTTATAACAAAGTATAGATCTAGACTACTACACCCCGCATCTGCATAAGTGGACGGTTTTAAGACGCGTCACAACCGAATGTTCGTAGGTTTAATACACTTACAATATTTTCTTAAGTATTGAGGCTCCGCTTGCGCGCTTCGCCCTCAGGGTCTGTGCTTTAAGTCAAGCTCTGAGATACGCTCGTCAAGAAAACAGGAACAGGTACTTACAAAAGTTCCTTTTTTTTTTTACCAACTAACAGATTTCAGAACATGGCCACAGTCAAACTCGAACAATTTTTTTTTTTTTTATTTTATCTATAATTCATTATATTGAATTTTTTAGTGAATCGTTTTTGCACTTAATTCCTCAGCGGTTGTTTGTCCCAAGCTGACTGTTCCAGAAAATGGTTTTTTTTTTCCACCCTCATGTTCCACAACAGATGTCAAGTATGGAATACGGTGTGTTTTTTTTTTTAACGACGGTTATGAACTGAGTGGTCCAAGGTATACAAACTGTCAAGTTGACAAAGCGTGGAGTGAAATCGCACCATTGTCGTGCACACGAGGTAAATTCTCAGTGAACTGTAGTTTTTGCTTGTGAGTCCTTCCTTTCCATGATCGCTCTCTCAATTTTTTTTTTTTTTTTCCGTTTATTGAAAAAAAGATTTAAACACCACCATGACTGGAAGGAAAACGCGTGTACTGTAAGTACCACCCGTTGTCCCGTACAAAGCCTTAGAAAACTTTTCTTTTTTTTTTTATGGGACAACGGTACTTACAGTGCACGCATTTTCCGTCCTGTCATGTTTTTTTTTTTGTCTGGTGAACATTTTTGTATTAATTTCTTTGCTTTATTTGCAGTCCTTTTTTTTTTATGGATCGCCTGTCCAATCGAAAGAATAGAAGATCTTGATCCAGACAAGTCCACTGTGGTGCTTGGTTACAAGTGGCAACTTCCTCGAACCAATTTGGAGAACGTGACGGTGTCGCCTAGCAACTACGATGAAAACTATCCATTCCCTGTTGGTAAACACCGAGTCACATGGATGGGAGCGAGTGAGAGTGGAGGTCAAATAAGCTGTAGCTTTTACGTCACTGTCAATGGTGAGGATTTCTGCTGCTTGAGCAAAAATTTGTTGGGGATATGCTTTTTTTTTTTATTGATTCCTCTCGGCATAGACGTGAACAGTATACAGGCTGCCGGGTTTTTTTTTTTGTAGGTTTGTTAAAGAAAAATAAAATATAATTGAGGGAAAATGCAATTTCTCTGATCATCACATATGATCACCTGGAATTCGTTTGGGGATCACCGGATAGTATTTTGAACATACATATCAAGTTCAACGACGCTTGCTTCTTCTTTTTATTTTAATTCATTTTTTTTTTTTTTATTTCACCTTTTCTTCAGACGTGACCCCACCCTCAGTTGAGAGTTGTCCAGCTTCCTTCAAGGAAAAGACCAACTCTCTTCAGAAAGAGATCAGTTGGACCGAGCCAGTATTCAGCGACAATGTGGAAGTGACCAGTGTGTTTTCCAATCGTAAGCCAGGGTTTGAAATGGCGACCTATACATCCATAAGAATACAATACACTGCTTCTGACGCAACGGGAAATATTGCTTATTGTGTCTTTAACATCACTTTGGAAGGTAATTACGGGACGAAAATGCCTTTCTGTATACTTAGACTGTTGTGAGAAACGTTCCTTTCTTTTGGAGTATTTTTTTTTTCGAATTCTGTATTTTGCAAATTTTAAGGCCTAACCACAAACTGTTCTTTTTTTTTTTCGAACCATTGCGTGGTAATGTACTTTTTCATTTCTTGAAAAGAACTGTTTTTTTTTTAGGTTTTTGTGGATATTTCAAGATAGTACACGTATTTCTGAAAGGTTGTAATATGCTAATAAATTTTGCATGATTATGATGAGCTACGATGATTTGTAGATGTTTTTTTTTTTTATCAAAAGATGTGATAACTTACTCTCCAAGTCATTCTAACCCATTTCTTTTTTTTTTCATTCAGGGTTTCCAAGACAAATTACTTAATGATTTAAGTTAATTAGTTTTTTTTTTGCCCGCAGAAATTGGCGCAAGCTGTTGCGGAGTCCCTGCCTATCGGCTTTTTTTTTTAACTAAAATTAAATCAATTATAAATCAATTCCAAGAAATCGAGATACAAGTTGGAAAAAAACGACCATATTTCCTTCAAAGTGCAAGCTTCTCGGTGAATGACCTTTTTTTTTTTTACGATTGTGAAATTTATGATTTTACGCTTTTTCTCTTAAAGGTTCTTTTTTTTTTACAATTGCTAATCCAAAGCAAGGTACAGCGACAAAGCTTGGTATAAATTTTTTTTTTAGATGCAATCAAGGGTACTTCTTTAACCCGTCTCCCCCAGGTATTCCAGGAATGTTCCAAAATCCTAGATACCGCTGCCAAGATAACAAATGGTTGTCTCTGGATGATGGTGTTTCTATATTAACTAGGGCGCCTGATTGCATGGGTAAGTTTACCTAAAGAATTAATGCGCGTAAAAATTAGGTGGAAATAGGGAAGCTCCTCGTCTAGCTCGTGTTAATCCGTCAAAGTTACTAATGTTTCCGAGAAAAAGTCCGCTAGCTGAGACAAAGGCGTTTTTTTTTTTATGTTCTTAGTGTTGCAAGAAAATCGAAAAAAGTGAGAGATAAGATTTGTTGACGAAGAAGACATCCATAAAGAAACGGAATGATATTTGTCTACAGAAGGGTTTTTTTTTTTATGTCTGATGACTAAGACTTTCGTTTTTATCTAAAAGTCTTATCATTTTTTTTTTTTCCTGTGCGATCCTCAATAGAAGGATCGTGCTGGTTGACAAGTGATTCTTTTTTTTTTGTGTGTGTTATTTATTTATTTTGTGAGTGAGTGTGTGT